TATACCTTTATTTTTTATTTTATTTTTAAAAAATATATTTTATTGACTTTACAGAGAGGAATTGAGAGGGATAGAGAGTTAGAAACGTCGATGATAGAGAAACATCGACCAGCTGCCTCTTGCACACCCCCTACTGGGGGTGTGCCAGCAACCAAGGTACATGTCCTTGACCGGAATCGACCCCGGGACCTTTCAGTCCACAGGCCAACGCTCTATCCACTGAGCCAAACCAGTCTCGGCCAGAGGTTATACCTTTAAAGGGACCAGATCTTGAGGGTCTCTGTTTGCTCCAGGACTTTATCTAACAGTTTTGTTTGTTTGTTTGTTTTTGTTATTGTTGTTTGTTAACCCTCAAAATCATTGGATATTTTTCCATTGATTTTTTAGAGAGAGTGGAAGGGAGAGGAGAGACAGAGAGAAACATTGATGTGAGACACATCCATTGGTTGCCTCCCACAGGAGCCCAGTCTAAGGTCAAAGTCTGCAACAGAGGTACAGGAATCAATCTTCAATTCCTAGGTATAGTCTGAAGCTCTATCCACTGAGCCAAACTGGCTAGGACTATCAAAGGGTTTTATATAGAGAAATTAAACAGTCTGTATTTTAGGTAAAAAGACAGTTGATGCATTTCAAAAGACATTTTTGAGCTTCTACAATATGCCAGATAAGCAAGTATGTGCTGAAGATACAAAAATTCTTACAATTGATTGAAAATCCTGAAAGTCAGCAAGTGATGTTGAGCCCCAGAACAGAGGCAGGAGTTAGCTTGGAAAGAAAAGTACTCAAGATAGCTTTATAAAGTGAAATGTGAAATGTATCCTTATTTATTTTTAATAATGTAGTTATTTATTTTTAATATTTTTATTGATTTCAGAGAGGGAGAGAGATAGAAACATCAATGAGAGAGAATCAATCATCAATCAGTTGCTTCCTGCACTAGGGATTGAGCCCGAAATCCGGGCATGTGCCCTTGACTGGAATCAAAGCCAGGACCCTCCAGTCCACAGGCCGACGCTCCAGCCACTGAGCCAAACTGGCCAGGGCTACCTATCCTTTTTAATTATTTTATTTTATTGATTTTAGAAAGAGGGAAGAAGAGGGATAGAAAGATAGAAACATGGATGAGAAATATCATCGATCAGCTGCCTTCTGCACACTCCCTACTGGGGATGGAGTCTACAACCCGAGTATGTGCCCTGACTAGGTTCTAGGTAGATGTTCTACCACTGAGCCACTGGCTGGGCGTGAAGATGATTTCTTCAAGTAATGCTCCTGGGAGCAACATAACTCAAAACCAGGATAAAAGCTAAGCTGGTTTAGATCACTTTCTAGTAGCTCATTTCAACTTCCCACTGACTTTTTTTTTTAGTTAAAAAAAAAAAAAGGAAAAAGAGGAATAGAAAATGAGGTTATTGGGAGTGGCGATAAAAAGGTACAGTGAGGGACCTAACCCGTTTGGCTCAGTAGCTGGAGCGTCGGCCTGGGGACTGAGGGGTCCCAGGTTCGATTGCGGTCAAGGGCACGTATCTCAGTTGCGTGAGCATCCCTCATCCATGTTTTTGGCTCTCTATCCTTCTCCTTTCCTCTCTGTAAAAAATAATAAAATATATTTTTAAAAAACAAAAAAGGCACAGTGAAGAGAGGGGAGGTCCAACTTTTCAGGTTTCTATCCTCCAATGCCTTGAATAACTAGATCTTTCTTAGTACTTAACCAATCTGATAAATAGGCAAACGAAAATGAAAATAAAAACAAAATGCCAACCAAACAGGAAGCTGTAGAGGGGGAAGAATTCTCTTACGAATGAGATGGATAGAACTGAACCCCTTACACACAGTGAGGTCAATTTCTAGGAAGTCGGGCCAGAACTCACAGAATCCTCCTGCTTCCTGGGTTCATGCCTCCTCCCTTGTTCTCATCTGGCCTCCTTTTCCCCACCTTCAGAAAATGTGTAAACAGCACAGGTTTCCCCATTCAACTAGCGGAAAAAATTCTCAAATCGACTGTGGAGCAACAGAACTCTGGGAGAGACAACCCTCCACGAGGCCTCAGACATAGTTCTCTGGAAAGGAGCAAACATGCTGGCATCATTTAACACCGTTTGGCCCCAGGGACCAAATGCTAGGTCCTTGCCCAGCCTCGAGGATATGGGGGTTGGCTCTCAGCAACCCAACCAATCCATCTTCACCCATCTCACTTCCAGCTTCTCGATTTTGAAGCCAAGACCGGGAGACTAGTCTGCTGTCCAGCCAGACAGGGAAGGCTAAAGGATGCTTTTCCATTCGGGAAGGGATTTAGATCCGGACCTCCAGCGTCCTGGGTCTCTTTCCCGTGGTCCCCAGTGTCCAAACTCAGATTCCCAAGGCACTCCCTTGGGCCCTGGGGCAGGACTCCCATTCTCTGCCTCTCCATCTCCCTGGAATTTTCCACTGCAGCTGCCTCCGCTCCCAGACACCCCTCCCTGGGCAAAATTCCCGGCTCCCTCCGCCTCCCATTCCTTAATCACACCTCATTCCCGCCCCCGGCCCTGAGGCCCAACCCACAGCCCCGCTCACTCCCCACACTAACCCCGGGGGTCCCAGCTAGAGGAATGGGAGGCCAGGTCCTTGCACTAGAGTGAGAAAGAGGGTCCCAGGCTCTTTCCAGAGCAGGCAGAGAGGGCAGTGGAGGGGCTGGTCCCCTGTGGGTCTGGTGTGGGGGGGAGTGGCCCTCCTCAAATCCCCATATAAGGCAGGGCAGGCAGCTGGGCTCCTGGATTGGCTGGTTCAAATGAGCATTCCACCTGGCAACAGGCTTTCTATTGGCTCTCGGGAAAAAATAGGAGGAAGGTGGATGGAGGTTGTTGGTGGCGGGGATTGGAGGGGGGAGGGGAGTGGAGGTGACCGGAGTGGGGGCGGTTACCAGGGCAACAGGGTAAGAGCCCAGCAGGGTGTCCGAGACAGCAGGCGGGGCTGGGAGGTGGCGGAGTGGGTAGAGGAAGGAGGAGGGTGGGAGGGAGAGGAAAGAGACAGACGGGGAGGGAGTGAGGCCGGGGAGAAGGGAGGCGCGGGGCGGGGGGGGGGGGGGGGGCAAAGGAGGGGGGAGAGGAGAAAAATGAAATTAGAGAGTAGAGAAGATGGAGAGGGTCAGAGATTGCTAAATACGTCAGTAAATCAGTCAGAGAAACAGATTGAGAGATGGAAAGATCTCAGAGAGAAAGATGGGTTGGGCAAGGAAAAACCTGGGTGGGGCTCCCAAGATTTTTGAGGAGAGGGAGACTGAGAAATGGGAAGAGTCTGGAAGCGAAACGGACAGGAAGACGGCTTATTTAAGCCCTCGAATAATAAGGGATGATCGGCGTGTATTTTTTTTTTTTAACCAAGAAAATAAAGAGTAATGGTCATGATAACCAAATATGGGAGTACGCACACACCAAAGATATCTTTTTCCAAACCCTAACCTTCCACTCCATTTAAAATTCCTGACCTTTCATACACACCCCCAGCTCCTGTCCCCTCCTGAAACCCTGAGCTTCTCAAAATGGCCCAAAGACACTGACACTGAGGACCAGGGACTGAGATTGTGTGGAACAGGGCGAGACGCCAGACCAGGACCCCTTGCCACGGAGGCCAACAGAATGCCGAGAAGCTGGGGAAGATGGCAGCGGAGGAAAGAGAAATGGGAAGAAAGGGAAAATAAGGGCATGGAGGGGAATGGAGGGAAACCTAAGGATATAGGGCCGGGAGACAGACTCAGACGAGGCAAGAACAGTGGTGTCTGGGAAGGGGAAAGAGGTCAGAGATGGGAGGGTAGAAGAGGGCAAAATGAGGAGCAGAACAGAGGTGACAGAGCATAGGAGAGAGGTGCGATGTGAATGGTTGTGGGAGAGGGGTCTGGGAACAGATGAGTGAAGAGGAATAAGGAGGAACGGAAGGACCAGGCGAAGGAAAGGGAAGTGAGATGGAAGAGAGGAAAGGAAACTGGGGGGGCCTCTGACCCACTCAGAGCACCAGGAGAAGCCAGGATGGGAAGGAGCCAGTAAAGATCAGGAAAGCCAGCCTCGGGCCGACCGAGATTCGCTGCCCTGGCTGCCCCCACACCCTCTCAAGGCCACGCAGAGGGTGCGGAGCGATGGCCGAGGGCAGGGGAAACCCAGCGTGGTGTGGAAGTGGTTCCCCACCCTCTTCCTCTTCAAGCTTTTAGTTTCTCAAATAAATACCTGCCCAGCTTTCCCTCTGCTCCCCACACCATCCATCCCTTGGCAAAAATCTCAGTTTTTTTGTTTTTTTTTTTATTTGGGGGTGTTGGGGGGAATGTCAGTAGGATTCTGGCCATCCCTCCAGCCCGCCCCCAAAAGATTGACTCCGCCGTCATGGTCGAGATCCGCAGGTCCCTCCCCGCAGGAACCCCACCCCTTCCCACCTCCGCGCCCCGCGCCTTTCTCCGAGGCCGCCCGTCCCTCCATCCCCCCCCCCCTCCCCGCCCGCCTCGTCCTTCCCCCCGCCCCCCGCCTCCCGCCTCCCGCGCTCCCCCTCCCCGCGCTTCCATCCTCCTATCCCCACCTCTCCAGCCTCCGCTTTCATCCTCCTCCCTTCGCTCTCCTCCTCCCCGCTCCCGCCGGCCCCACCCCTGGGAAGCCCCTCCCGTCGGGCAGCGCCGCCTTTATAAGCGGTTCCCTGCCCGGGGGCGGCAGCGGCTGGTCGGTGGCAGCTCTGCGGGTGCGGGGGCGGCGAGGACCCAGCGAGCGAGCGACCGACCGCGGCCGGAGCGCGCCCGCCACCGCCCGCCCTCCCCGCCCTCCCTCCGGACGGCCGCAGCCCTGCGGGTCTCCGCTCCGGACCCACCCCCGCCCCACCCCGCGCGCCTCTGCCGCCTCTTCCCGAGCCCCAGCCCGCCGAGCGGCCGCCGCCGCTGCCGCTGCCGCCACCGCGCCAGGTTCCGGCCGCGGCCGCCGCCCGCCGTCCAGGGCCCCTCCGTCCCGACCCCGGGACCCCGGCTCCCCGCCCGCCCCGGCCCCGGCACCATGTCGGAGAAGAGCGTGGAGGCAGCGGCCGAGCTGAGCGCCAAGGTACACGGGCGGGGATGGCCGCCCCCCGGACCCGCGCGCCCCCCCCCTCCCCCGGACTCCGCGCGGCCCTGCGCCCCCGGCCGCCCCCGACGGCCCCGCGCTGCCCCGGCGGCGCCGATCCCGGCGGACCCCTCTCCGCCCTCCCCCGCCCCCCGCGCCCCAGCCTGGCGCTGCCTCCCCGGGCCGGCGTGCCGCCCGCCAGCGCCCTCTAGCTTCCCCGGCGCCGCTCCCGGCCCCGCTCGGCCCGGCCGCCGACTCCACCCGCTCCGGCCCGGCCCGCGCGCCCGGGCCCCGGCCCCGGCCCCGGCCCCGGCCAGCTTCCCGTCTGCGCTCGGCGCGGCGCGCTTCGCCTGCCCCTCGCCCCGGCCCCGGCCCCCGCCCCACGGCCAGTCTGACTTCACCTTCCCGGGCTGAGTGGTGAGACACGCTCCTGTGTAAACAGGGCTGTCCGCGGAGGCTGCTCCGCTCGCCCCTCCCCTCGAGGCCCGACCGCTGCTGGCCTCTCTCCTTGGACAGCCGCTGCCTCTATGTGCTCATTTCCCTCTGTCCTTTCCGCCTGTATCCTTTCCTTCACCGTGGCCTTCAGCTGTCTTTCCTCTCCGTGGCACCTTTTCAGCCTTTCTCTCCCCACCCACTCCACCCCCTCTTACAGAATCTTGATCCCTAAAAATCAGAGGCGGGATAGGAATAGCCTTCGAAAAAGCCTCTGCTCAGCATTACCCCGCCTTGCACGGAGCCATCCTTGCTCTCTCGTCAGCTCCCTTCTTCCCCGGCCCAACCATTTGCCCTTGCCTCTCTTCCAGCCTTTAATTTCTCCAGGGAGCTTGCGGAGCATCGCTTTGGGAAATTAATCCGGCCAGGGCTTGGGGGCTGGGAGCCCGACCTTGGGAGGGGAGGGTGGCTGAGGAGAGGTCACCGAGGCCTCCCGATGGCCTGGGAGGTGAAAAGGAGGGGACCGGTGGGGTTCAAGGCCGCGGAAGAGAGGGGCTGTGTGCGAGATCTGGCAAGGTGTGGTGGCACGTGACTCCATTGAGTAGGTGTCTTTGTATGTCTGAAATCCAGCAAGTGTGTGGGACTGCCTGTGTCAGTTACATGTGTGCCTGGGGAGACCTGCAGCCATGTTGCTGTTCCTGGGACTCCACCGTGCTCCGATGCCGGTGTCTCCAGAGTGTGCCAGAAAACCCAGACACCGGGCCATGTGTCTCTGAGTTGCGTGGGTGCCCCTCTGAAGCGGAGTGTGTGAATTGGTGTCAGCCTGTGTCAACGTGTGCCTGGGTTGACTAAATGGGCCAGAGGGCTGCTTAGCACAAGACCCGGGTCATCCCCTCCTGGAAAGGGGATCATGGAAGGACAGTGACCAGAAGGACAGGACTGGGAGGAGAGGGCCCGGCCCCTCGGACTTTGGTCTCTGGTACTGTCCCTCCCCCCGTAAGCCCAGATGGGAAACTCAGGCCAGGGTGCGCCTGAGCCCCGGCTCTCCAGGCCCAGGATGGGGGAGCAAATCCACCAGGTAGTAGAAGTACCACACTGCCCTGGCCCCTGGCCGGGTAGCCCCGTTGGTGAGAGCGTCGTGCCACGGTGTGGGTGGTGTGGGTTTGATCCCTTGTCGGGACACATCCAAGAATCAACCAGCGAATGCATAAATAAGTGGATCAACAAATCAATGTCTCTCTCTCACTCATCAAAAATAAATTTAAAAAAATGAGAAAGAAAAAATGCCATACCGACCGTGTGGCAAAGAAACAGGGACAGCTGTGTGGCAAAGAAATGAGGACTTGACTGGAAGAAACCTAGCTGGAGTGAGAGGGTCAAGCATTCTCCCTTCCCAGAGAGGGAGGAGGGAATCGAGTGTCCCTCCAGGCCAACCATTGACACCAGCCCGTACCCCCTCCTTTCCCAGTCCAGTTCCAGAAAGGACACACCCTCCCGGGGTGATCTGCTCACACGGAAAACTTCCATCCACGTGGATCAGATACACAGAGTTGCACACCAAGGCCAGATCTGATCCTAAGGAGGCACTGCATCAGGGCCTGCCAAGGGTGGGGTGGGAAGAGGATGAATCAAACTTGGAAGGGCAGGTGTGTCTAGAGAAGGGGGACTCTCAGGAGCACCTCCCTCTGCCACATCAGAAAAAGACAGGGTGTACCTGCTTAGATGTTGGGGTGAAGAAGAGGGCGTGTGTCCTAAGGTACCTTCCCCATCAGTATTCCTGTCCCACCCCAGACACAACTTGTCTCATTTCCTCTCCATGCCCCACATTCTCCCATGTTTCTTTTATCCTACTTGACCTACATCCCCTGGAAGTGGTTATTTCTGCCCTCCTACCACACCGGGCACTCTCCACAGGCCTCAGGGAGGTAGAACTTCTTTTCCCCCAAAGGGGGAGTGGGAAAAAGTGAGAGAGGGTGTCAGGAATTGGGCAAGAGTGTTCTCCCTATTCCTGTGGTGTTTGCCCACACAGGAGGCTGAGGACTCTGGGGACAGACACACAGGGAACAAAGGCTTTGGTAGCTGGGAGGGATGCCCAGGAAAGTACCAGGAAAAGGCCCCAGGGGTAGACAAAAGGCAGAGATGGGCAGGCCGTGGGAGGGGGTGGGGCATCAGGGCTGTGAGCAGATGGAGGGGATTTGCTTTGCTGAGCTGAACTCTGCAGCCGGTGAGGTTTGGGAGAACTTGATGGGGATGGGGAGCAGTTCCCACGGCACCTGGTTCTCTTTCCTCATCACTTTCCATCGTCTCTGAGGCTTGGGGAAGAAAGAGTCTGATCTCAGCCCTTTGTGGCCTTACGGAGCCTGCGACCTTTGTTCTGACTCTAGACTGCTGTGACGACCTTTTCTATCTCACACTCTCCTCTCAGCTCACTGCAGAGGGAGAACCACAGCTAGCGGGACTTCGGGGCTGCAGATGGTTTCTGGTGAGAGAAAGGTGACCCCTCTCTCTCTCTCTCTCTCTCTCTCTCTCTCTCTCTCTCTCTCTCTCTCTTTCTCAGGATCTGAAGGAGAAGAAAGAGAAGGTGGAGGAGAAGGCGAGCCGGAAAGAGCGAAAGAAAGAAGTGGTGGAGGTGCTAAGGGTCAGGGTTGGGGGTTGTGACCACCCCTGCCCACCATTTCCCCCTCCTGTGAAGGAAGTTGGGTTCTGGCTTTCCTCTGACTTCTTCTCCCATCCTCCTTACCCCATCCTTCCGGCCCTCCCAGTGCCCCGGGCCGCTGGTGGTGATGGTGTGGGAGGCAAACAGCCAGCTTGACCAGCTCTCTCTTTTCATCCCCAAAGGAGGAGGAAAACGGAGCCGAGGAGGAGGAAGAGGAAACCGCTGAGGACGGAGAAGAAGAGGATGAAGGGGAAGAAGAAGGTGGGGAGGGGCAAGGAGCAGAGTGAGGGTGGGCCTGAAGAACTGACACAGGGCTGAGGGCGACCACTGGGGCCTGCTGGGGCTCCCTGCCTCCCCAATGACCCATTTCTGGCTCCTCAGATGAGGAAGAAGAAGATGATGACGACGAGGGGCCGGCGCTGAAGAGAGCTGCTGAAGAGGAGGTTTGGGCTGGGTTGTGGGGCCTGAGGGGCTGTCAGGGATGCAGCAGGGGCTGGGAGCCCTTTGGATTTGGATCCAGAACCCTGTGGTGCATGGTTGGGTGCTGGAACAGGGCAGGGACAGGGGCAAGTCCCTCTCCCATTTACCAGCGCTTTCCCTCCCCACAGGATGAAGCTGATCCCAAGCGGCAGAAGACAGAAAATGGGGCATCGGCATGAGCCCCCTGCCGACGGGCTGGGGAAGCAGGCCCCTCAAGGCCTGGGGATGGGGCAGGAACAGTTCAGTGCAGCCACTCTTCTTCACCTGACTCCTTGCTCTGGGCCCTGCACCAGAGCTATCCCTCTCTTCCTCCTCAGCCTCCTCGTGTCCACCTCTCCAGACACTGCCCTTCCATCCTCACTCTGCCATTGTCCCACCTCCTGACCTGCTCCCTCTGAGCTCCCCAGCTGGTCCCCAATTGCCCCCTTCCCCTCTTTCTCTCTTCCTCCCTCACGCCCACCCCTCCTCCTCCGATAGCTTCTTCTTTGGGACCTCTGCATCCTACCTTTCTGTCCTGCCCATCCCTACCCTGCCTGACCCCTGGGTCTCCTTCAGATCCCCTTCTCAGACAGCGCCAGGCTGGGGTGGGGCCAGGGTTGGGACCAAGCCCTACAGCTGCCCCCCCTCTCCTCCCCTTTTTGTATAATTTAATAAAGAAATGGTCGCGCTTCTGTTTTTAACCTGTCTCCTGCTTTCCCAGGGCCGAGGGAGGAGGGTGGCAGTGTCACATTCTGTTGGGACCCTTCCATTCTATAAAAAAAAAAGTGCCCTCCTATCATCCACCGCTCAAGAAGACAAGGTCAGCACTTTCCGGGTGGACATGGAGCACAGCTTCTTTGAGAGCTGACTGTTGTCCTGATTTTGGATTCTTGGGGAATTCCTCCCCAGCAATGCACACGCACTTCCCTGCTAGCCCACACCGGGTCTAGACACTGCTGAGCCCAGTGGAAAGCTACCAGCCTTGTTGTGCTGAACCCGGCAAAGAAACAGCCTCAAACAGGAAGTCCCGCCCCTGCAGTGGGAGAAGGCTGGAGGCCTGGGTCTCCACTTCCTGGGACCTGGAGTGAGAGTCGCCTAGCAACAGAACTGCCCCTTTGCCTGGCGCTGAAGGAGGGAGTGCCTGGCTAAAGGGAGGCCTCCTGTGCCCAGGCTGGCTGCTAGTTCTTGGCACCCGCCCTCCACCACTCCCTGCTGGGCTCCTCAGGCTGGGACAGGTGGGGAGCAAGGGCTTCCCTCTGGCAGTCTCAGTACTTCTGCCTTCGTTTTTTCTAGGGTTCGATCTCTAGCAGGATTTCTGCATTTCTCCATATCACCCTTGCCAATCTAGAACCTCTGGATCGGGAGCAGGGGTCTGAGCTGGGGTAGGTGCGTGTGACTTGGTAACACCACCAGCTTGCTAAAGACCCATCCTTCACCCTAGGTCCGGACGACAAAGCTTCATACTCCATAATTGACCTTGCCAAATTAGTTCCTCTCTGAGCCTGCCTCAGTTTCCTCATCTGTACAATGGAGGTAACATTAGGTTTCATGAGTTGCTGTATGTAGTGTCCAAAACTGCCTAGCCCATACCGAGAGCTTATAGCTATTCTTTGGGCTTGAGGAAACCTTCCCCTGGTCTATCATCTTTTAAGGTCTGATAAACCTTCCAGTCTTCCTTATTCCCAAGGATGATTGGGTGGGTGAGGGAGTGAAGTTCTGGGAGGCCAAAGGAATGAGGGAGGGGAGGGGTACCACAGAAAGGGCTGGCCAGGAAGAACGTGAGACTGCTGGGACTGACAGGGGAAACAGTTTACAGTTTGTAGAGAAGGGCAGAAGGTCCTGGGAAAGGGAGCAGTCGGGAGGGTGGGCGAGGGTGGGGAGGAGGCGGTGGGGACACCCAGAACTGAGGAAATAAACAAGGGGAGCGCCAGCCACCACAGGGGTGGAGGGTAACGCTGCTGGGAATCAGCCCCCTCAGACTTTCCACTGCGAAGCGAAACCGTGAGCCCCGGGGTGTGTGGGGGGGCAACGCAGAGGGGAAGTGGGGAAGGTGAAGGGAAGGCAGAAGGACAGGGGCAAGGGCCCTGGAAACAGCAGACCAGCCTCCCAGCTCAAGACAGCCACCTTGCCTCTGCTCTGCTCTCTGCCACTGCCCTGCCCCATTACCTGGGACTGCCCCCCACCCCACCCACCCCTCAACTTTTCTCCCTACCTTCCCCAGCCCCCAGCTGCCTGATCTGGCCAGCTTACCTCTGCATTCCAGCCTCTGGTCACTGGTCCCTCCCCTCTCCCTCCAGGTCTCTGTCCCTGTCCCTCTTCCTGGAGCTTCCTTTCCTCCACCTTGCCCCTTGCAGAACCCCTCTTTGGTTAGGCTGTCTGTCCCTGCTTCTGGACCTCTTCCCTTCGGAGGGCCCCTCCCGGCCCGGGCCTAAGGGGAGATGGGGGAAGCCCGGTTCCTGCTCTTGGTGCTTCTGCCCTGGCTGTGGGTGGCTCCAGGTAAGATGGGGTGATGCTGTGAGAGGGTTGACCCTGACCCACAGGAGGGGGTCAGCAGGGGTCTCCGGATGACTGACTACACAGAAGGCTCTTAGTTTGGGTGGTTTTTTTTCTCATGACGTGCTTGGGGCCCTGTCCTTCAGCCCCAAAGCCTCCCATCAGGCTCCCCGCCGGCAGAAAAGGGGCAAAACCCCTGGTCTTCCTCAGGCTCCTTCTCTGATCCTCAGTCACTTGGCTCACGGCCCCTCCCCTTGGCCTCTCTCTCTCTCTTTTCCTCCCCAGGGGAGGCCCAGGGGTCCAGGACCGAGGTCCCTGTGGTGTGGGCCCAGGAAGGGGCTGCCGCCCAGCTCCCCTGCAGCCTCACAACCCCCCTCCAGGACCTCAGCCTTCGCATAGGAGGGGTTACTTGGCAGCATCAACCAGATAGGTATGCACCCCAAACTTGGTGAGCAGAATTCCCAAATCCAAGGTCCAAGCCATCCCCCGGTCCCCTCCCGGGAGGGAGCTGTCCGTCCCTCTGAAGCCAGTGGCCTGCCTCCCCTGCCACTCTGCAGCCTAGGCCCTTCCTCATCCAGGCAGCCCATCGCTTGCCAGCAGGGGGTGGTGCTGGCCCAGGGCGAGGGCGGATAGCGGGACGTTCATGGTCCAGAGAGACCTGCCCTTTGGGTGGGCTTCCTGATCCTCAAAATGTGGCGGGACTGCATTCCTCTGGAGACTTCTTCCCCTTTCATGTCCCCATCTCTCTCTCTCTCCCCTCCCCCCCTCCCCCCCGCGGCCAGCCCGCCCGCAGCCCCGTACACGGTGCTGAGGCTGGGGCGCGGGGGCCTGCGCAGCGGGCGGCCGCCCCTGCAGCCCCGCGTGCAGCTGGAGGAGCGGCGCCTGCAGCGCGGGGACTTCTCGCTCTGGCTGCGCCCGGCCCAGCGCGCGGACGCGGGCCTGTATCACGCCACGGTGCACCTCCGGGACCTGGACCGGGACCGGGACCGGGACCGCCCCGTCACCTGCCGCCTCCGTCTGCGCCTGGGCCAGGCCTCCAGTAGGTGGGGGTGGGGGCGGGGGCGGGGCGAGGGGCGCGGGCCGGGAGCAGGGCGCGGGGTTCCAGACGCCGGTCCTTGGGCAGGAAGGGCTGGGCTAGGGCTGTGCTTCTAAGGATGCGCCCTGGGCCCTGCCTGCGAGCCCCCAGACGGGTAGCGGAAGAGGGTGGGGAGCCAGATGGCGAAGGGGAAGGTGCCCCCAGAAAAGCACATGTGTGGGGGGTGAGGGGGGAAAGGGAGGAGGGCTCTTTGGAGAGATTATATCACCCCTTACACTCCCCTTCCCCCACCCACCGTGGGCGTGCCAGGGTGGAGGAGGGGAGGCACCCCTGGGAGGGGGGAGGCCTGGAGGGAGGGTGCCGGCTAGAGGGATTCATTTCAGACATCTGTGGCTCAGGAGGTGGGCTTCGTGGGGATCCTCGGGCAAGGAAGGCCTGGTGGAAGGGGAGACCAAGCCAAGGGCGCTTGGAGGCTGGAAAGTCTGGGCATCCATTTTAAGCACTTCCAGGTGCCAGGCGCTGCGCTGGGTGCGGGGAGCGCGGAGGGGAGAAGACAAAGGCGTTTCCATCGTGGTGCCTGGGTCCAGGAGTTCCCAGCCTGGTTTGTGTCGGGAACGTGTTTACAGTGGGGGCTGATCCACCCCCAACACCTTCTTTATCCTCCCGCAGTGACTGCCAGTCCCGCAGGGCCTCTCCGGACCTCCGATTGGGTCGTCCTGAACTGCTCCTTCAGCCGCCCCGAATTCCCGGCCTCTGTGCAGTGGTTCCGGGGCCCAGGCAGAGCCCCTGTTCAGAAGTCTCCCCATCACCACTTAGAGGGGAGCTTCCTCTTCCTGCCCAGAGTCAGCCGGGCAGACTCCGGGCTCTGGGGCTGCATCCTCACCTACAGCGACGGCTTCAGGGTCTCCAGCACATACGACCTCACTGTTCTGGGTAACGCCTCCCGTCTGCCTTCGCACTGGACCGCAAGGCCTTCGCTGCCCTCTCCTCCTCTCCCCCTGACCTGTGGGTCCCCAAAGAAGGTCTTGCGCAGCCGCACACCCCCTCTGCTTATTCTGGACCTCGCTGTGCGATGTCCTCCTTTCTCCCTGTTTGCTGCCTTCTCCCGGGGTTAGGCTTTCCTTTGGCCGCCCAGCCACAATGGCCGGCCTTTGGTTTCCTGCTGGCCCACTCACATCCTGGGATTCCGCGCCTCCGTGGTTCGTGCACCTTATTCTGCCCCTTAGCACTCCTCAGAGCCCAACCACCTCCTTCGCTCCTGCACTTTCCTGCCTCTCTTCCATTCAGATCCCGAGCTCCAGCCCCTCTGCTCCTTCCCCCACCTCTCTCTCTGCTCTAACGCTGGGTTTCCCTTTCTCTCCAGATCCGGAGCCTCCAGGCCCTCTGACAGTGTACGCAGGAGCGGGTTCCCGGGTGGAGCTGCCCTGCCCCCTGCCCCCTGGCGTAGGCACCCCGTCTTCCCTCACGGCCAAGTGGGCCCCTCCTGGGGGAGGCCCTGACCTGCTGGTGGCTGGAGACAATGGCAACTTGACCCTTCGCCTGGAGGCCGTGAGCCCGGCCCAGGCCGGGACCTATACCTGCCGCATCCATCTGCCCGGGCAGCAGCTCATCACCAAGGTCACTCTGGCAGTCATCACAGGTCAGCCCTGCGCGGGGAAGGAGTGGCTCCCAACCCAGGGGAGCTGGGCAGGGAAGGATGTGGATACTGGCAAAGCCACCTCGTGATGCCAGGCCATGGGCACCATTTCCAGAGGCTGCCCCTCGAGGCCTCCTCTTTTCTCGCCCCCACATATTAAAACTGAAACTAAAAATCTCCCCTGAGTCACTAGATGAATGTTCCACTCTTCTCTAAGGGGATCCCCTGCTCTGAATTGGGGGCGGGAGGGTGGGGCGGGCGGGGAAGGTCTGAGAAGTTAGAAGGAGAAGTGGCAAAAGTTTGAATGGTTCAAAAGGGGTGAACCATATCTCTAGAATCCTTGTCCCACGTTGGGGCTGGAGCTTGGGTTAAAGCTGCAGGAAGTGGCCTGGATTTGGGAGGAGTTAATGCATTAGTTCCGTGGTCAGCAAATATTTACTGATCATGGGCTTTTTCAAGACAGCGTAAAACAAACACATTTAAAACAAAACAAAGAATACAAAACCTTAAAATGTGTTGGTTGGTTGGTTGGTTATTCAGTCAATTACCAACGGTGGTGTACCTGACAGTATCTGCAGTGCTAATCTGTGGCCGCTAAATAGTAGCACCACATAGCAGGTACTTAATGAATACAGTTGAATGAATAAGTGATTATGCTAGCAAATAATAATTCATCCCCTGTCTGCCAATGCTGAATTTCCATATGCTTCCTGGAAATTCTACCTAGATCTCCTAGTCTCACCGCAGCCCCACCCTGAACCCCATCTTTTCCTCGAGCGAAGTCTCGCTGACGTAGCCTTTCTGCCACGGATGCCGTTTGCATCCCACTCACCCTGAAACCTGGCTTTCTCCTTTCCTCGTGTCCAGTCAGTTGCCAAAGCCTGCCAATTCTCTGGGTCTAAGGTTTTCTGGAGGGCCCATTGTTCTGTGTCAGTTTCCCTTGGTATCCCATAACCATTCAACGCGAGATGCTTTCTAGAGGAGGAACAATCCCAAAGTGTCAGACTCAGGGCCTGCACTCGGGTGTCTGTGTCACCAAATCTTCAGGTTCCTGTTCGCCGTCTTTCTCCTCCTGCTCACCCTGTCTCTCCCTGTTTAGCTTTGAGATGCTCTGTCTCTAGGTAGTTAGTCAATTCACCGTTCTCCAAACATTCAGGAAGTGGGCAAGTCCATCCAGGGGGGCACCTCAAGGCAGGGGCACTGGTGTGTGATTCAAATTATGGAAGCAGGAAAAGTGGGAAGTGTATTGGGGGCCAACACACCTAACAGATATGGAGGGTTTGAGCATTTGAGGAATCAGGAAGGTAAAAGAATCTGAAATAATATTTGTTATGGGATCCTTCTGGCCCCAGTGTGAGTTTGAACAGTCCCCTGAAGGCAACAGGGAGCCTGGGAAGTTTTTTGAGCAAGCAGTGTGATCTGACCAGAACTTTGTCTTCATGAGATTACTTTGGCCATGACCCTGATCTCCTCCCCTCAGCCTCATCCAATCAGAGCCCAGGGGAGTGCAGTGTGCTTGAGACTTGGGGGTTGATCCTATGGTGTCAAGTAAAGGGACCGGGGACTCAACAGATCTCTTCCCCCTCACGTTTTTCAGTGACTCCCAAATCCTCCAGGGCACCTGGCGACCGGAGAAAGCTTCTTTGCGAGGTGACGCCAGCGTCGGGACAGGAGCGCTTTGTGTGGAGCCCCCAGGACAAGTCTTCCGGGGGTTCCCCGGGACCCTGGCTGGAGGTGCAGGAAGCCAGCCTCCTTTCCCAGCCCTGGCAGTGCCATGTGTACCAGGGGGAGAGGCTTCTCGGAACGGCTGTCTACGTCACGGAGCTGCCCGGCTCAGGTCTGAGACCCCACAATACGGGGTCCCCAGCTCCAGACCAGTCATCGTGATCCCTCTTGCAGACCTCCGCCCCACCCCTCCCAGCCCTTTCTTTCTCAGTGAGGGCCCTGACTTCCAGCTCTAGTCTAGTCCTGACCCTCTTCTGCCAGTAATTGGTTGAATGATCCAGGACGAGTCCCTTAAACTCTTTGGGTCTCGTGGTTTGTGTCTGTAAAATTGGAGGGTGTGGCTGGATGTCCTTTCAGTCTCGACTTTATGCCCAATCCTGCACTTTCTCCTCAGGCGCCCAGCGCTCCGACAGAGCCCCAGGAGCCCTGAAAACAGGCCACCTCTCTCTCCTTATCGCCCTCGGCGTCCTCCTCCTGCTCCTCTTGGTGACTGGAGCCTTTGGCTTCCACCTTTGGAGAAAACCGGTGAGCCAAGCACGCCCCTCCCGTTGCCACTGGTTTCCCTCCTCGCCAGTCCTCAGGGCTGTCCGGCACCTCCTCCTCAGCACAGGTGACAGAGGCAGCCCCGGACTTGCCTTTTGAACCCCTTTTCACAGGCCTCTGTGCTCCAAGGGTCCCCCGTGCTGGAAGAATGCGGAGAAAAGGCCCTGGGACCATATGGGAAAGAATAGATGGGCCCAGTAGCCTCCTTATTCCTTTTCTCTCTCTCTCTCACCCTCCATGTCTTCCCACAGTGGCGTCCAAGAAGATTCTCTGCTTTAGAGCATGGGATTCATCCACCTCAGGCTCAGAGCAAGACAGAGGATCTGGAGCAAGAACCAGAGCCGGAGCTGGAGCCAGAGCTGGAGCCAGAGCCACAACCACAGCCACAGCCACAGCCGCAGCCACAGCCATAGCCAGAGCAGCCCTGACCGAGAGCTCAGGCAGCCAGTGGATTTCTGTAGTTCAGTACAAATAAACTCCCATCAGCAGCAAGCTTGAGTCTGGCTCCTTCTTGTCCCCTGGAGTCTGGTCTCTCCCCAACCTCTGGGGGCTCCCTTCTACCTGTCCTCTCTCCCTCCTTCTTTTCCTCCCTCCCGCCCTTCTTCCCTGCCAGTCTCTCTTATCTTCCCCTTTCTGTCCCAGGCTTCTCAGTGATTCTTTTCTCCTTAGTCTTTTTGTTACTATCTCTATGGGTAGTAATTTTTCTAAAGCTCCAAAAGCCCTCACCCCTTACTTCTACAGCTCTTTCCTCCGTCCTTTGGCTATCATGCTGGCTGCCCTGGTTTCCTTTATATTTTTATTCCTCTGGCCCACCCCACCGCACCCCACATTCAGCTCCACTTCAGCACTGTCCTTGGCCCTCTAGTTGTAGTGGGTGCATGTGTACACACACACACACACACACACACACACACACACACACGGAACAGCCCTGCCCTGTCAAATCCTCCTGGAGATCAAGTCTTGCAACCTTTCTGGTGCGAGCTGGTTGAGGTTCTCGCCTGCTTCTGCCCCACCCCCACGTTCCTCAGCTCTTGGGGGCCTTCTCTGTTCCTTAGGCACGAGAACACACTGCCACCCAGTGGTCACTGTCATGCAATGCAAGGGTGACTGGGTAGGCTGGGCACGTGGGAGATTAGCAGTGCCCGGGACAGGCAGCTGATGTCCCCACGTGTAGGCACCGCCTCTGTGGGGTGCCCTTGCTAGGATCTGTATACACGTATGCACCCAGCGGCTGTCACATGCCCTGTGCGCCCACCAGGAGAAGGGCTGAACGATACGTGCCTCAGGATACATAGCCCCAGACTGCGAGGTTATGATCCAAGTCTGACAAAGGAGAGTGTGGTGAACAAAGGCCCCACGTGGGGACCAGAACGGCCAGCAAGGCAGCTGGCTGCTGCTGCTGCTGCAGCTTTGAGAGTAAGGAGACCTGGCTTCTGACCCCAGCTGTGCTGACGTGACCAGAGTTCATCTCCCTGAGCCTCAGTTTCCTCACCTGTTAAATGGGAGAGTCGTAACCCATCAAAATGGGCTGCTGTGAATACTGGATAACAAAGGGGCTCGACTGTCCTTGTCTGATCGTCCCTCTGAGGAGGAGGAAGCAGGCCTGCTCTGGTCATGCCGGGAATGACAGAGACGACCCACCCCCTGCCGGCCCGCCTGCCCTCTCTGTCTGTCTGTCTGTCTGTCTCAGAGGGAACATTCATGCCGGTTGTGGTCTTAGAGCACACACACAGCCTCAGCCCACAGCACCCCCACAGTGACTTAGACCTCTGCCTGCACTGTGTGCCATGCTCTGGACTTTGGCCGCAGACCGCTCTGTCAGGGAACTTTACCCTGGGCAGGAGGGGGAAAAAACATTGAAAGAGAGTGGGAGCAAGCCTGCAGCGGGAGGAGCCCCCTTTTTCAGAGGGGCAGGGGTGTCCTGGAAATTTCCGTGGGCGGCATTTTTCCTTTCGACTAGGAAACATCCTAGGCCCTGTGGGCTTGTGAAAGCAGTCATCGAGGATTCACCAGCGCCTCTGCGGGGACTTCCCCACGCTCCTGCACCAAGGGAGCAGCGAGGGGACAGGGGCAGAGGGATGGGCCACCTGTTCACACGCTCAGGAAGCGAAGAGCAAAGAAAGAACGGGAGGAAGAGAGGGCATGGGGTTTGTGCTTACGGCGAGCCCTTTATTGATTTTTACCCCCTTCCCTGCGAGCTCTCCTAGGGGGTGACACACCCTGCCCCTCCCCCTTTCTCCTCAAAGTTCTAGCAAGATAACCTCCAGCCCATTCTGGGTTCTCTTCGTCCTTCCAGGGAGCTGGGTTAATTCTTCCCGCATCTTCAGGCTTATCTGTGAACTGAACCAGTAGTCCAGGCTGGGGACCTCGAGGGGCAGGGGCATCAAGGAGGCAGGAAGCTCAGCCCTAGCCAGGTAGCTCAGTTGGTTAGAGCATCTTCCTGATATGCCAAGGTTGTAGGTTGGATCCCCGGTCAGGGCACATACAAAGAGCAACCAGTGAATGCATAAGTAAATAAATAAGTGGAACAACAAATAAATCTCTCTCTCTTTCCCCCTTCACCCCTCCTCTCTCTTTCTCAAACCCTATATAATAAAAAGGCAATATGCAAATTGACTATCACTCCAACACACAAGATGGCCACCCCATGTAGTCAAAGTTGGCTGCCCCCATGTGGACACAAGATGGCCACCACAAGATGGTCATCAGGGGAGGGCAGTTGAGGAGGACCAGGCCTGAAGGGGAAGGCAGTTGGGGGAGGGGGGGAACGACCAGGCCTGCAGGAGAGGGCAGTTGGGGGCCAACAGGCCTGTAGGGGAGGGCAGTTGGGGGGACCAGGCCTGCAGGGGAGGGCAGTTAGGGATGAGCAGGCTGGTGGGAGAGGGCAGTTAGGGGCAATTGGGCCAGCAGGGGAGCAGTTAGGTGTCAATCAGGCAGGTAGGTGAGTGGTTGGGAACCAATAGTCCTGGATTGTGAGAGGATGTCCAACTGACCATTTAGGCCTGATCCCTCCAGGATCAAGACTAAACAGGCAGTCAGACAACCCTTGAGGAGTCCCAGATTGAAGCAGGTGCGGGCTGGGCTGAGGGACACACACCCGTGCACAAATTTTGTGTACTGAGCCTCTAGTCAATAAATAATTTTTTTTTTTTTTTAAAGGAGGCAGGAAATTCAGTGGGGCCTGTGGAGGGTGGGGGAGGGATCATCTTACTCCTTGTTTTTGTGTATTTTTAAAAAATATATTTTTATTTGAGAGAGGAAGAGAGCGATAGAAACATCAATGATAAGAGAGAATCATTGATTGGCTGCCTCCTACATGCCCTCCATGGTGGATTGAGCCCACTATGCTCAACCACTGAGCTGCCATATATATATATTCTAATTGCTAATTGATCCTTACACCATTGCAAAGATGACGGTGCCCATAGACAATAAGGAGGGAATATGCTAATTGACTGCCACGCCCTCAAAGATGGTGGCGCCCAGTCTCCTCATCCCTGCCAGGGCACCTGCCTCCGGAGTCCCCCAGTCCTCTCAGCCCCATAGCTACCCAGGGCTGGCTGGAGGACAGGCAAGCTTCAAATGGCGGCTGCCCAGCCGCCCAGGGCCGCCCAAGGCTCAGGTAACCAGGGCCGGCTGAGGCTTGTGCTGCTGGCAGTGGCAGCAGCAGAGGTGACTTCCCCTGATCACTGGGTTGTCTCCCAGCCCTGAGGACTCCCAGAATGTGAGAGGGAGCAGACTGGGCTGAGGGGCCCCCCTCCAGTGCATGAATTTTTATGCATCAGGCCTTTAATACAGACATATAGATATATAGATATATAGACATATAGACAATAGATATCTAGATATCTAGATATCTAGATATCTAGATATCTAGATATATAGATATATAGATATATAGATATATAGATACATAGATATTGATATTTATTTTATTGATTTCAGAAAGGGAGAAAGAGAGAGAAACATCAACGATGATAGAGAATCATTGATTGACTGCCTCCTGCACACCCCCAACTGGGGATGAGCCTGTAACCCGATACCCAGCAGGTCTTCTTATCTTTAAGGTGCAGGGCAGGCCCAGAAAGTTCCCTGTTCCGCCTCCCCCACCAGGCAGAGGTGTATCCCACCAAGGAGGTAAGCAAGGAGCTTACCTGCTTGGGCCCACCCCAAGATGGAGGTCCCCCTTTGAAGGGAATGGGGTTGGGTGGGGATGGGTTCTGTCTGCTTTACTCTGCGGCTGACAGTTATCCAAAGGGCTGCAGGTGCCAGCTGGCTGAGCCCAGGCTGGGCTCTGAAATGTGCCTGCTTCTAGCTCCCATGGGGTGCGGGAGGCCCGGGAGCCACCCTCGGAGAGTTGCAGAGGTGGCCATGGAGCTAGGGAGAGTGTGGCCAGGGTGGAGGTGGGTCAGCCCTTGGAGACTCTACTTCCCAGACCACCTCTGAGGCCCCTCCCCCACACCCTGTCCCCAACCCCCTTTGCAGAGGGTGTCGGTGCAGCTGCAGATGTTTCTGGTAAGGAGGCCACCACAGGACTGCACCTGGGGCTTCCAACTTCCCTTCCACAGCTTCCACGGGCAGCCCTACCCCTTCTCTAACAAGCCCCGCCTCCGACACTCTGTCAGCCTTGCTGCTGTCTCCCCTCCGTGTCCCCTCTCCTTCTCCCCACTTGACCTCCTCCCCCTCCTCCAGCCTGGGGACAGAAGCCACGCAGCAGAAATAGTGCTCTACCAGGAACAGGAGGCTTCTGGAAATCTCCAGGCTCGATGCTTACAGTCCTACCATGGGGCTGAACTCCGTTCCTTCTTCTATGAAATGAGGATAATCATACCTACCAAAAAGATTTGGCAAGTGCTAATGTATGTGAAAGTGCTTTGAGATGGAAAATCACTGTGTATGTGTGAGGCAGAGTGGCGATGCTAAAGCCTCAGCAGCCCCAGAGGAGACTGTCAGCCCCATATCCCTGCACCGCCTTCCTTAATGCAGAGGAGAGGCAGTCAGGTGGGGGGAGAATCCAAGCATTGGGTCCAGGCCGAAGTTCAAATCCCAGTCCCACCAGTTAGGGTTACTAGCTCTGTGACCTCCAGCAATTTTTAAAAACTCTTTGAGCCTCAGTCTCCTTATCTGTATGGGCTAGAGCAGTGGTCGGCGGACTGTGGCTCGAGAGCCACATGCGGCTCTTTGGCCCCTTGAGTTTTTAGCAAAGGCCAGCTTAGGGGTACCTTAATGGAGTTAATAACAACGTGCCTACCTATATAGTTTAAGTTTAAAAAAGTTGTCTCTCAAAAGAAATTTTAATCGTCGTATTGTTTTTTGTTTTGTTTTTTTAAGACTTTAAAAAATATATATTTTATTGATTTTTCACAGAGAGGAAGAGAGAGGGATAGAGAGTTAGAAACATCGATGAGAG